ACTGTCAGAGGTAGAAAACATAGAGCTCAAATCAGGAGGACATGAGATGATCCCCATGGGAGTATCAGGCAGGAGCACCCAGGGCTGAAGGAGCCCTGTCTGCTCTGCCTGAGATCAGTGATGACATGGTCCCCGCCGAGCTGGTAGAGGATTGGGGTCCCCATGAGGAGAATCAGAAGCCATATTGGGAGGAGGATACTGAGGACACTGACTCTCCCAAATCCTGCGCTGCCCTGCCCACTTGGGGGTTCCTCTCCCTCTTGATGAAAATCTCACCTCCTCAGATGACTCTCCCTGAGCCCAGAGAGAGAGAGAGAGAGAGAGAGGAGGGAGGCGGGTTGGGGAACAGCTCACAGAGGATGAGGGGACAAGTCCTGCCCAGGACTCTGGGGACATGGACTCTGGGGCTCAGCTGGGGGTGGACAAGCTCCTGAGGTGAGGAGGACCATGCCGTAAGCCAGCCACAGCAGCCTGGGTGTCAGGGGTTCCTAAAGGATGGGACAGAGTCTACCCAATTGTGGAAAAGAGGGGGAGGGGGAGTGAGGAGATGCAGACACTTGGTCAGGGGGCAGACATCATCCTGCTGAGGCTCTCAGCAGCCCTTTACTTACACATTCCTAGGTACATAAACATATGTATTGGAGTAGTAAGATTGTTACCCCGATAAAAAAGGATAACAATCATCACATCTTTTTCAAGAATAGCCAAGGGTCTAATTGCCCTTCAGCAGAGGTTGTAACATTCTTTGTTTTGAAGCTACCATACCAATTGGCACTGAAAGGGAACTGTTCAGGAAAAGGAACTGTTAAGGAAATGAAAGGGAATTGTTAAGGAAAAAGGGAACTCTTGATGAAAAGGAACTCTTCTCCTGCTAAAGGGCCAGAGACATGGAAATGTCAGTTTGCTTCCTTAATCAGCATATCTAAACAAGGCCTGGCAGCCAGCTGGGCTGGTTGTTCTCCCGGCCATTCTCAAAGAGCTGCTTCCTTCCCTTTTACCTGCGTCAAGAATTTGTATGCTAACTAACCAATCAAACAGCATTTGCAGTTTTACTTTTAAATGCGTATTTTGACAATGGTAGAAACTAGCCATAAACAAATGAGGAGAATCTAGCAGGAGTCAGCTAACAAGATTCCTGACTTTTCAGGAATCTGCCCCATGCCCGGACCCTTGTCAGAGGACTTGAGTAGCATGGCTCCCAGCAGGACCATGAGTGTCAGAGGAGCAGCTTCAGTCTAGACCCAGGGTCTGCCCCGTCCTGTCTGGGGCCTGGTGTCTCCTCCTCTCCTCAGGCATCTCTTCAGCCTATTGGGGAGAGGAAGTTACCTATATTATAACTAATATTTCAGTTTCTCATTTTTATGTTAAAAGCCGGGTGTTTTAATGCATTTACTTTAAAATGACTAGCATAAAAGTTTTCTACTATAAACAATACAAAGTTTCCTGTATAAAAATCTGTCTTAAAATAAATAATCTTTTTTTAAAAGATTTATTTATTTATGCATACAAGAGCTGGGGGCTAGAGGTGCAGGGTGGTGAGAGGATTCACCAGAGACAGGCTGGGGAACAGAACAGGCAGATTGACCTAAGTACACTGTTGAGAGGACCAGTGGGTGAGTCAGGAGAGGCCTGATGCACCATATGGGTCAGCTCCCTGGCTGGCCGGGGATCCAGATGAGACAGGGCAAGCTAGGGTTATTAGGCAGTTTTAGAGATAGTGCAGGAGGGGACCTCTGAAAAATTTAGGGAGGCTTCAGAGATAAGGACAAGCAAGGGAAAGTAACCCATTCCATTAGGAAAAAGAAACATCTCAGGACCAAGGACAACATTGTTAATGCTGGTCCTGGTTTCCTTCAGGTGGTAAAGGGAGGCGGAGATTGGAGAAATGGAGAGTGGTTTAATTTATGGACACATTAGAAGGGCAGCTGTTTAACTTCAATGCAGGGATGCCCATCCAGAGGACTGGGCCATAAATTTAAAGATGCAACAAATGGGGAAAGAAAAAGCTGTTAGATAAGGAATGTGAAGATCTCCCACTCAGTAGCAAATTAAGTGAGACAGCCGAGAACTGACCAATCACAAAGAGACTGGTGAAGTTTTAGAATAATGAGGGGAAAAAGGTATATATTCCCTGAGACACGACTCCACTTTGGCTTCCTTGCCCCTCCCAGGCCTGGTTCCCTGGCCTGGGAGTCCCACTTTATTTCTGCTCTTTTTCTTCTCAATAAACTTTTTCTAAACAAACCTGCCCTGCCTCTTCTCGCTTGCTTGCCTGAGCATCTGGGAAGTTGCTGTGGCTTCCTGAGACACCAACCCGTGGGGGGTCTAGAGGCTGGGGCTCAGCACTGCCCTGCAGCCTGGAATCCATTCCTGGCTGGGAGACTAGGCCTGACAATTCCGGCATCACAGAGACAGCAGACAGCTTCACAGGCTGCTTCTTATGTCTTACTTACCTTAAAATAAGTAATCTTGTATAGTTTTTATGAAATCATAAACATGACTCTCAGAAAAATATATAATCAATTAATATTAATTCATCAGTGATAGTATTGGTATTATCACAACATGCTACAAAGAGGATTTTGAAGAATAAATCCTTTATTGTCCAGCATGAAAGCAACTTAAAATATTCTAAGAAACAAGAAAAGTGGTAATATCTATGGATAAAAAATAATAGTCTTTGGAATTCTCTTTTTTGCTTTACAAACCACATGTGACTTCACAGCAAACACATCCTTAATTAATTATAAAAACCTAAGTCAAATCTTATACATTTTCTAAATAGTTACATAAGTTTGAATCTAATTATAAAATCTCTATAATGTCCCATTAGATCAAGACATGACACACACCTTACTTATTTATCAGTTTTTAATAGTTTTTCAGATCAATAGAAGGAAAAATTTCATGGATAGTAGCTGAGGGTAAATCCTAAAAATGACAAACATCCCATCGTAGGATCCAGAAGAAAGGCAGCACGACCAGGAGAGACGCGTGTCCTCAGCTGTGACTGGAGTGTCCCCTCCAGGGCTCATCCTGACAGTGAGCAGTGGGCCAAGGGACACGCTCCTTGGGTCCAGCTCCAGGTCACCCAAGAGGGCGCGTGGGGGATGTGGGCCAGGAAGCATGAATGGGTGATGGGAGAGTCCACACCTGTGACTACTCAGCTCCACACACAATTCACACATTTCAACAACCCACAACACAATTGTATGTTTTTAACTACTAAGAGAAGCTCCCTTTTCACGTCTCCAGAACAGACAGCGCCAATCTTTGTATCTATATTACTTATTTCTTAAGTTCAGCCACAATTCAATTGTTTATCTGTTACCCAAAAAATACATCATAAACATAAGGTATTCTTCAGCACACGGATTCCTCAGCACAAGCTAAAGTTGGAAAAAATCCAGTTAATTTAGGACCCGAATTCATAGCTCATCCCCTTCCTTGTCCAAACAGTATGAAAACGCCTTGAAATATTTTCTTCATGAAAAGAAAAATGATCTCCCGTGGTAATGTTCTTCCTTCCCCAAACAGGTTCAAGTCAGTCAATTTCACCATCTGGGGCCTCAGCACGAGGCATGACCTGACTGTTCTCACAGCTACAGGAGGAAATGGGTGATGGAGAGTCCACGCATTCGACTCCTCAGCCCCACACTTACAATATCTACACTGCTTCTCTTCAAATATCAAGGGAAAGCTGCCTTTACAAGTGAAGAAGTGCTCACCTTTCCCCAAAATGAGAGGCCAGACAGCCCCAATTTTTGTATCTAAAATGCCGTATTAGGCATTTCTCAAATCTGCTCACAGTACCTTTATCTATTCTGTTACCCAAAACTATATTATACACAATAACTACATCAACTTGTATAAAAGCACAAGGGAAGATGACAAATAAAGACAATGGGTAATAAATACAAATGAACACACAAAAGAGAAATAGTTAAAACTATTACAGTCTCTTTACAGTCACACACCATCATGATGTCTGACTCCTCCCCGCTCCCCTTCTCCATTTTCTCCTCTACCAGAACCAAGTCAGTGTCCCCTGGGGGAGGATCACACCTTCCTCCCTGCAGGTCTGGGGCTCAGGATCCTGCTTCCTCTGGCAGCTGTGGTTCTCGTGACCCTTTGCCTCAGATGTAGAAGGACTGAGTCAGCACAGGGGCACCTGGAGCTCAGTTCCCAGCTTCCCAAGTCTCTTCTTCATTTTCATCTTAATTCAGGGAGCAGTTCTCTCCTTTCCAAATGATGTTGACACAAAAGAGGAACCAGATCCTTCTCCTGAGGTCACCAAATTAACACACCACAAGTTTATCACTGGTAATAGGAATTCATCAGCTTTGATAAAATTAAGTGTATTTCATCCACTCCAGAGTAGGAAGCAGATAACAGAATATTAGGCTCCTCTAAAGTCCATCATCTGCATTTCCCCAAATATTTTGGAGGCAGAAGTTTTCTGGTCAGATAGTCCAGCTCCTAAAAATAGATCTGGGGACTCTCCATCAGGCTCTAGGTTCCTCCACACAAAATCAAGTTGGACAAAGTAAACTCCAATTAATGTAGGAGAATCATTCAGAGCTCAACCCATTTCTTGACCTAACAGTATAAAATCCTTGTTAAATATTTTCTTTACCAAATGACAAATGATTTCCCATGGAAAAATTCACCCGAACCTAAACGGGTTCAAAGTTATGTCTCAGCACAAGGCGTGACCTGACTGTTCTCACAGCCACGGCCCAGGAATCTGCACCCAGAGCAGGAGGATGAGACACCAGCATCTGGGACTCACTCACAGGTTTGTCCACAGGGAACCTGCAGCCCCAAAAAGAGCCCAGGGCAGGGCTGGGCAGGGAGGAGCCTCATGGGGACACGGTCTCAGGGGTGCAGGGGAGGAGGGGGGCTTCAGGCCCTGGGGGAGCCCCATCCACACCAGAGCCTCAGAGGATCCCCTCCCCTGGGGGATCCCCCAGAGAAGGAGGTTGATTCATGATGTTATAGGGCAGGGAGAGGGGCAGCCCAGACCCTGTAAACCTGCCTATTTTAAATGGATTCTGCCATCCACAGCATCAACACAAAACATATGAGACTTTAATGGGAAGGAACTTTAATACAACTAGGAAACAATACAGGAAAGATAAAGAATCTAGTTTCTAAATGAAGCACCCAAAGTTACCCGTCCCCTCGTGGGTAAAACTCCATCCAAATGGGATTGGCCCAGAGCAAGGCCCCAAAGCCTGCTACAAGTCTAAAGCATCTGCCAGTGGGGACCCACAGAAAAGGGTCAGAAACAACCAGACAAGCCCAGAAGGAAAGAACAAAATCAAAATCAAGATAAAAGCTGCCATTGTCCCCACCCCACGGGTCTCACCCACATCTGTGTCACGCCGTCCATAACCAAAAGGCAAGCGCAGTTTCCTCACGTGTTTCCCTATTCCATGTGACTCCTCCAGGTCTCCTTCTGGCTCCCTCCTGCTTCCTTCCTTCCTCAGTCTCTCCAGCTTCTTTTCTGCCTGCTCAGCTCCACCCTCCCTTGGGTGGGGCAGGGAACCTGGAACCTCCCCCTTTCCTGGGGACCACCCTGTTACAATGGCACAGAGGGCTTCTGGGGTCCAGCCTCCAGGGGGCAGAGGGTCATGGACACGTCTCCTGAATAACACCCAAAGTATGGAAAGAGGGTCCCAGAGATGGACTCAGGAGGGAAGGAGAAGATGTGGGAGCCATCAGTCATGTCATAGAAGGAGACATCCCCATGATCATAGTCCAGAAAAACCCCCAGCCTGTGGGGAACCTGCCTAAGGGGTAGCGGAGTACGAGGGTCATTGAAGGCTTTGAAAACGTTGTTGTGCCGGCCAAAAACCCATTTCCCGTTCCGTGGGGATGGAGCACTGTATTTAATTTTCTCACCTTTCCTATAAACCCCCAGAACCCACGCAGTTCTGTCTGCATTCCTGACCTCTACCTCCCAGTAACAGCGCCCTGATGTGATGCCCTCAAGACCACAAACACTGTATCCTCCTTCCATTCCAGTGTGATGACAGGTCAGACTCTTCTTGTCATGAGAGAGGGCAATTCCCCGATGGCAAGAACCTGGATCCAGAGTGACAGGCCCTGCAGAAAACCCATGTGCCAGCCTGACATAAGAGGGCACACACCACCTCACCCGAGACTCAGCTTTATGGGGAGAGGGTTATGTTCCCTGAAATGAGAGCCTGGTGACCCCAGTTCACAGCCCCTAAGCAAGAGAAGGAGCCACAAGATTATTGGGGGTCAAGTATGTCACAGGACCCCTGGGGACCCACCCAGACCCCAAGGACTAAGGAGCCCCTTCACCACACATGACCAATCACCCCCAGCCCAGCTGTGTGACGTCACAACTACACCCACCCGACCCCCACAGAGGGTGCAGAGACTGTGCCCACACAAAGAACAGAAGGAAAGGCCAGAAGCTGAGCAGCCCCAGAGAGAACAGAGTCACTCACAGGCCCGGAACTGCCTCTTCCGCCAATCTGCAAAACACACACATGTCACGTGAGGGACTCTAGATACTCACACATCAGGGCCCACGCCTAGTTTTCTACAAGACAGTGACACAGAGTTCACAGGGGAAAATATTTGGAAACATTTAGTGGATGCATTTAACATTTAGATTCATACACACACACACACGCACAGTTGTTATGCTGCAAATTTCCATGATTTAAGACCTAAAGCTTAATACTCAGGGGTGAGAGGCTGAACACCAACTGCACAGAAAGGTCTTTACCCAGACACAACCATCAAATGATACTTTCCAAGTCATAGCCACAGGCCCATCCTGGAAACGAGGTTGTCTTGAACAATTTCTACGGAGATGAAACGCCCAGGACCGTGTGTGCTTGTGAAGAACTAACAGACCTGGACATGCAACTTCTCTCTGAGCCACGGCGCTTAGAGCTACAACCAGTCCAGGCCTGTGTGTGGCCTGAGGGGCCGTGCAAAACCTGCAGAAGCCTGGAGACACGGGGGCTGGTGGGCAGAGCTTTCCCCTCTAATTGTGAATAAATCTGTTTGTCCAAGAAGGGGGGAGAGACAGGCAGAGAGAGAGAGAGAGAGAGAATGACACAATGTGACTGAGTTGCATGTGGGGGTGTCTATGACATGAGTGAGGAGACTCAGGACACTCAGCAGAGGGTCCTGCCCACTCAGGAGGGGGTGGAGAGGGTTCCAGGGGGAGAGTAACATGTAGAGCAGGGAACATGGACACACACTGAGAGGATCAAACACTAGTGACAACTTTCCACATTTTCATGTGTGGTGGAAACAAAACCATCCCCGCAGACAGAGAAGAACACAAACACATTGGATTGACACAACAGTTTCCTTCAAGCGGAGCCCAGAAAGATGGAAGCTTCAAAGTAAAACTCTCTCTAGAAGCAGAATAATGATTTCAAAGGTGTCCATGTCCTCATCCCATGAACCTGTAAAGATGTGTCCTTGACAGAGGAAAGAGAAACCTGCAGGTGGGACAGAGACGGGGACCTGGAAACAGGGATGTTACTGAGCATCATCAGGGGGAACCAATCCCATGAGACTTAACAGCCGTGACCCTGCACCTGTGCTCAGAGACAGTCACATGGCGACGGCAGCAGGGCCATAAAGAGGCTGCATGGCAGACAGTGTAGACAGAGGATGGGAGTCCCCAGTCAATGCAGGGGGCTCTAGATCCTGGGAGAGGAAAAGGCTCCTGGAAGGAAGGAGCTGCCAGACCCTGGAGTTAGTCCCAGGATACGGTCTCAGGTGTCTGCCCTGCAGGCGTGTGAGATGATAAACTGTGTGGGTGACGACGCTGCTCAGGGTGTGGTGACGTCTGTCAGCAGCAGCTGGAGCTCTGATGCCCCATGTGGGGGCCAGGCAGGTGAGCAGGGCCCTGGCAGGGGAGGGTCTGGAGGGAGCACCAGGACCCCAGGATGCACGTGGACACATGAGGACCCCGAAGTGTCACCTACTTTGGGGGGAGATGGAGGAAGAGAGAGGGGCCTGGAGAGCAGGCAGGGAGGGAATGATGGTTGAGGAGAGCAGGACAAGGACATGGGACAAGAGGAAGAAACCAGAAGGTTCATCAATTTGCTGACCAGAAACAGACCCAGACCCTGACTCTGCTCTGGAAGGAGGGTCACCCACAAGCCCTAATGACCAGACAGGACGAGCCCTGCCCCCCTCAGCATGTGCCACACAGGATCATAGACCTGTGGCCCCACTGTGTTTCATTCCCAAGCCTTGCACAGTGTCTTCACAGCACAGATTCCAACTGGTGACTGTGCCCAAAACCTCTAGAAGGCTCTTCTCCCACACTCCCCTCTCCTTCCTTCCCCTCTCTCTCTCCATCCAGACTTTTCTTTCAAATTTCCCCCCTGTTCTTTGGGAATGGATTATAACCATTTTAGGTTTGTTCTTTTCCAGTCTACATAGTTACTTTAAAAAAAAAACAAAAACTACTTAATAATGACCATGAAACAGTCAGACAAAATTCTCCTTAAAAAGATGATGGTTCTGAAAAATCATACATTGTTTATCTTGTTACAAAGACACAAAAATTACAGCCACATGCACACACACACACACACACACACACTGGATTTTATATGTAATTTCAGACCTTTCACAGGCCCCTGCCCAGGAGTCACAAACACCCCAGAAGCTCTGGCCAGACTCAGACACCTGCTCTAAACAACTGATTCCTTGGCACCCACAAGGGATTACAAGAAAAATGCAGCTTGGACATGAATCAGAGCATGCATGAGAAGACATAGAATCAAGAGGAAACAGGAAACAAAAACTAGATCCAAAATAGAACTGGGATTTGGGATCCAGAAGGATCCATAACCCCGGACCCCTTAGCAAGACCTGAATCGGAAGCAGGAAGTAGAATGTCTGGAATTTTCCAGAAATCAGTAAATCCTGAACCACACACTAGTCCTTGCCATAGCCTCTCCTCACACTGACCCCCACTGTCCTCACCCACAGGAAGGACCAGGTGACAAGGGGTCAGAGACTGTCCTGGCCCCACATGACCTGCAGGGAGGACAGGGCAGGTGGAGGCAGGTCTGTGCTCACAAGGGGGACCCTGCAGTTCTCAGATGGAGGCTCCAGAGTGAGAGGAGACCAAGGACCTTTCTGGTAAGGTCCCCTGATAGAGAAGGGGCAGACGGGAGGCTGGGAGGGGTCCCAGGCCCCTCAGGGCCACTCACCTGCATACAGCTGGGCCTTCCTCCAGGCTGAAAGGAAACACACAGGTGAGACCTCAGCACAACCAGTTGCTCTTGTGATCCATGAGCACTGACAATCCCCTGTTCTGCAGGTGAGACTTTCTAGGGGGTGGGGGTGGGGCCTGGAGAGGTCATGACCTCCTGTCCCCTGCAGACAGCAGGGGGTGGTGGGAAATCCCTGGCTCAGGTCAGGATCCTGCAGGACAGACTGACCCTGCCCTGCCTGCTGCTGCTGTGGGACTTTGGCAAGTCACTGAGCAGCGTTGGGCCCCACAGCCTTCAACGCTCCTGCTTCACCTTCTAGTCACTGTTGCTACACAGGATCAAAAACGGTATATGGGAAGATATTTTTTAACGGACATATTATTCCATAATTATTACAGTCAGTATTTCCTTGGAAATTAATGGGAAGATGAAATAAAAAGACAACATGGACATCACACCAGCTCCAGAGAAGAAATGGCCCTTCTTCCTCCAGTGCAGTATTTCTAGTTATAAACACTCTCTGGGAGAGGGAAAGTCCCCCCACACCCTCCCAGGCAAGATCACCCCGTCCTCTCCCAGCACCACTGATCAGCATTTTCAGGAGCAGAGAGAACAGACTCTCCTTGGGGTTGTTTGGGGAGAAAGGTCAGGAGGGGATTACACTCCTAAACTTCAAGAGTCCATTTACTTTTCAAATCCCAGAGCAGCTGCTTTACTTCCAGGTGCTGACCGAGAACCAGATACATTGAGGACTAGAAAGCCAGCACCATGGTGGGAAAGTCAGGGCTGGAATGAGACGAGGATGCAGGAGACTCCAAGGGTCACCACCCACCAGGACCCCAAGAATGGGGGGAAACAGCACCCAGATCTGGAGAGTCCATGGAGCAGGGTCCTGCCTCTTACCAGCTCCCACTTCCACCCCAGGGAAGGGCCCACATGTCTGTGCTGAGACACCCAAGGGGAGGGACCCCTGGGCACAGGGGACAGGGACCCAGGACCCCTGGAGCATCACTCACCAGCCAGGTAAGCTGCCTTCCTCTGGTCTGAAAGACAACACAGGACACAGGTGAGCTAAGAACCAGAATGTCTCCTATGAAGGGGACACAGAGTTCAGGAGGGAGAGCAGAGCTTACCTAGAATTGCCTGGAGCTTATCTGCAAAAGAATTAAAAATATAAGCATTAACTGACCCTATGAACAAAATGTGTGCCTAGAGAAGACACAAAAATGAATCTCTCTGTGTCCTAGAAGTTCCACCTTCAGACCAACATGAGCCTCCAAGCTCCACTGTCCCCTCTGGGACTCAGCACCTGCTCTGATCTCCCTGCAGAGGGACCCTGGTCTCTGGCTCTGGTGTCAGCTTGTCCCTCTCAGCACCCACTGCCACACTCACCAGCCTGGCCCTGCCCTGCCTTACCTGTGTCCTTCAGGGCCTCCTCCTTGGTCTGTAGGTCCAGCTCCTTAACCCAGCATATAAGGTTCTGAAGCCGCAGCTCCCGTATCTGTGTGGAATGTTCTCTCTGGGTATAGTATGCAGCCCTCAGGAGCAGGAGCAGCAGCAAGGGCAGGCTCACCAGGAAAGCTGGCTTCCAGGGAGAGGCCCGGGGGAAGAAGGGCTCTGCAGACAGAGACCAGAGACCCCATCAGGACACAGCCCAGGACAGCCCAGCCCAGCTCACCTGGGAGTGTTGGCCCCTCCCTCTGACCCTGCAGGCAGTAAGGAGGGGGGAGAAGCCCTGACCTGGGATGACAATGGTCCTGGCCTTCTCCTGGCGCAGGATGGGGTTGAGGATGGAACAAGTCACACTCCCTGCAGAGCTGTCTCTCACCACCAGAGCAGCCTCCACGCTGAATAGCCCCTCAGTGTCCTGGGCATGGACCTTGGAGAACTCCAGGAACTGCTCCCCACGGGGGTGTCTCCACTGCATCTGGGGCTCTGGGAACCAGCCAGAGGCCATGCACACCACGCACACCCCGTCCTCCTCTGGCCCAGTGATGTGCACTTGGGGGGCAGAGCCCACACCTGCGGAGGGAAGATGAGAGCCACGTGGGGCAGGACCCACCTGTGCACACCTCCAGGGGAGGCCAGCAAGGTGCATTTCGGGGAATCTGGGGAAGGTCGCCCCCTGGGGGCATAAAGGTGATGTCACTGACACAAGACCAGAAGGAAAGAGCAGGAGAGGCTGGAGGGGCCTGGGCTCCTCCCCCAGCCCTGCAGGTAGAGAGATGATGCCCACAGGAGAGGAGAAGGAATGTCACATCTCTGCCTTTAAAAACAGCCCAGGAACATAAATCAAGAATAATAACCCGGAGAAGTCTTGGGGGGAAAGGCACATATTACCAAAATTTTCAAAGGCATAAATTAAAATCTGCCATACATTTTTTAAAGATATATTTTATTTATTTATGCATACAAGAACTGGGGTACAGGCCAGAGTGCAGGGTGGTGAGATGATTCACCAGAGACAGAGTGGAGAACAGAACAGGCAGATTAACTGAAATACACTGCTGAGGGGAGAGCGGGCGAGACAGGAGAGGCCTGCTGTGCCATGTGGGTAGCTCCCTGGCTGGGGAAAGTGCTGCAGTGGCTGCTGATAGCTTGATAGTGCTGAGACTTAACCCCTTGAAACACTAGGGAGGCCCTGCCATACATTTTTAAAACAGAAAATGTTTAGTGCAATTTTAGATTAAATATATATATATTCGAAATTAGAAAATATGTGCAATGTGCTTTCCTTTGTTTATTTTAATCACACCAAAACTTTTCCATAGCCAAACTGATCTCCCTCTCACCCTCCTGTGGTTCAGGAAGAGGGAATCCCCCCACCAAGGATGACTGTTCCTGGATCTCCTACCCCACAGGTCACCCTCTCTCCTAAGAGTTGGTCCCATTATATTCTCTCTCTCCCTGTCTCTCCCCCCATCTCCCCTCCTTTCCTTTCCCCGCTTCTCTCATATCTTAGATGTGCTTACTCATGATTGCTAGTCTCTCGCTTTTTATCTATTATTTTTATAATTATGTAAACATATTTAAATCTTTCCAAAGTATCTTTTCTTTCCCTTTAATCAACTGGGTTTTTCTCTGGGTTATGATTCTTGATTTTTGTTTCCTGGGCTGTGTTTAAAGGCAGAGATGTGAAATTCCTTCTTCTCTTTCCATAGTCAACTGATTTCTCACTCCTCACCCACATCTCAGCCACCACAGAGCAGCTCCTTTTACTGCTCCATCGAACCTGTTCTGGCGGAATCAACAAATTCTCCTATTTGACACCCCCAACCCCCACAGCCTTCCAGTCAGTCTCCCTTCACCACAGGACACGCCTGACTTCACCTCGAAACCAGCTCCATCTTGGTTTGGTTTCCCTTCTCTTGAAGTCACTTGTTGCCACTTAGATCCTGCTGATCCCCTTTCCTGACTTTTCTCCCTGCACCTGCTCCTTGAAGGCAGCATAATCTCAGGGTTCAACCCTTAAAGCCCCGTCTTACCTCACACCCTCTCCCAGGTCTTCTTCTCCCTCAGCTTTTGTGTCTCCTCACACATCACTTCCAGATATCAATCACCAGCCTCCCACCTCCTTCCCTGATAGCACATCCCTGTGGGTTCCATCTGTCAGGATTCCTCACATCCTCTTCACACTCAAATTGTGCATTTGAACTCATGATTTTGCCTCATCTGTGGTAAACTGGTTATAAAAATACTCCTAGGGCCTCCCTGGTGGCAGAAGGTTTAAAGCACCACACTATGAAGCAATCTGCAGCCTCTGCAGCATGAGTTCAATCCCCAGCCGGCCAGGGAGCAACCCACATGGAGCAGCAGACCTCTTCTGTCTCGCCCGCTGCTCCCCTCAGCAGTGTATTTCAGTAGATCTGCCTGTTTGTTCTGTTCCCACTCTGTCTCTGGTGAATCCTCTTTCACCCCCCCAACCCTCTCTGGACTGTACCCCAGTTCTTGTATGCATAAATAAATAAATAAATCTTTTTTAAAAAAGAAAATGGATTGTAATTAATGTATTGTGGCAATCATTTCACTATACATGTAAATCAAATCATCATGTTATATGCCTTATATTTACATAATAAATTTATTTTATATATATGTATATTAATTATTTCTCAATAAAACTGTGTGGAAAGTAATTCCAGATATCTACTTAGCTTTTGCTCAATACTAGGGACCATTTTTGCTCAGAAACAAAATGATGAGCCAATGGGACCAAATGATGCTTCAATGGGACCATGCTGAGCTCCTATTTATTGTTGCAACCTGCCTTCACACCCACATTGCTGACCCAGTTCTCCTGTGCTATTTAGCTTATTATCCTCGTCATTGATCACTTCCTACTCATTTAGAACCTGTGTATTTATTATGATTGCTCTATGTCCCACTTGAAAATATAAACTCACTGAGCGAAGGTCTTGATTGGCTTCACTAATGTATCCAAGTGCTTAGAACAGTAGGTGCAGTGTATATTTACATGTATTGCAACAATGAATTAACAAGTCTTTTTCCTCATGAATGAAATGAGAGACTTAATTATATTGTCCTTAGGTTCTTCCCTGCTCCAAACTCAAATCCCTGGTATTTAACCATGTCACCCACCTACCACCTGCAGCTCCAAGCTGGCTTGCTCACAGAAGTCTCCATCTCTGAAGGAGCAGTTGTACAGCCCATTGTCAGAAGCCCGGACCTCGTGGATGGTCACAGCAGCATCCCCCTCACTGAGATATTTCCCTAACAGCGAGGTCCGCCCTGTGTACTGGGCCATCAGCTCATCATGTCGCTCCTGTCGGTCTTGATAGGTGAACACTGACTCCCAGAAATGTGAACGGAACCACCTCAATTCCATGTCCTCTGCACTCATGGCTGGGTACAGGGAGCAGGGCAGTGTGGCATCCTTGCCCAGCTCTGCCACAATGGGGTGTGTGGGGCCAAATACCCGGAACTTCTCTGTGAACACAGACATAGGAGATAGAAAGCTTAGGAAGCACACCCCAAGAGCAGGGAACACACAACTTCAGTGGGGAAGGCCCAGGCAGGCTGAGGAAAAGTGTCAAATGAGCAGACAGCTGATCTGAAAGACTGAGCAGTTACAATCCACCTCTGGCCTATACCCCAGATCTTGTATGCATAAGTAAATAAATCTTTCAAAAAAAAAAAAAAAAGAATAAGATGTAGGTGGAGAGAGACACTTGGAGTCTGTGGTCAAGGATGAATGCTTCAGTACAAATTGTGGCACTGCCACTCAACCAGGCCTTGACCAGTTTTTTAGGGAAGCACAGCTAAAAGTTGTGGAGATACAGATTCTTGGCTGAGAGGAAATACATGCAGACAAGTTGGATGTTCTCAGCAGACCAGGTCCCTAGTGAAAAGGACGAGGACACAGTATGGAGTACACAATCACTTTCCCCTCCCAGGACTGGGGCTGACATCCTGAGGCTCACTGACAATGTGCACATGCAGTGTCTCAAGCCGGAAAAACAGAACAAGTGGGCAATCAGTGTGTCACAAACCTGAGCTAGCATGTGCCCTGCCAGAACATGTGCTCCAGAGGTTAGATGACCCTACTCCACACCCACACCCTATGACGCAGCATCTCATAAGTTCTGTAGACCTGCAGAAGTCTAGAAATGCCAAAAACCTAAAATCACATAAAACTATAATACTGCCAAATGGAAGTTGAAAGTTTTCCAATCTCTAAGTTAATACCACAAATGATTTTTTTTAAATAAGAAACCTAAAGCAGCAAAATGGGCACAGATAAACACACCAAATAGCAACTTGAACATGGGAAAATGAAATCACAAGAGGAGAACAACTCTCCAATATACAAGAACAAAAACATGGAAGATCGTATCTTCCTATCAAGTAGAGAGGTTGAAATTACCATGACAAAGCAAGTCAAAGGAAAGGGATAAAACACAGAATGGCTAATCAAAGAGATAAAACAAAATTCAGAGTAATAAATAAATGGATTGGGAAATAAAATTAATGAACAGAAAATAGAAATTTAAGCCTTAAATGATAAAATAACAGAGTTATAGGATGTAAAAAGATCAACAGAGAAAATGCAAATTTCTGGAGAAAACTATTGGAGCAGCGTAGACCAAACAGAAGATCAAATATGTGACCTCAAAAGTAATAATGCATAAAGGACACAGGTGGATGAAGGAAGAGTTAAAAATGAAGGAACATTTCAAGATCAAGCCAACTCATTGAGGAAATGGTATTCATTCCAGAAGGGAAGAGAGAGAGAAGGGAGCAGAGAACTATTCAAAGAAATAGAAAAAAAACTGGACATATGGGGAAGGAAATGAATATACAAGTCTATAAATATAAAACTACACCTATTAAATAAATATAATGAGACCTACACCAAGACATATAGCCATGAATCTACCAAGAGTTCAAGACAAAGAATACTACAGATGGCTAGGTGGGAAAAGCAGGTAACCTATAAAGTTACTCCCATAAGACAAACTCCTATCAGACTTCTTCAAAGAAACCCTACATGCAAGGAGAGAATGAAATGACATATTCAAAATACTGTAAAATCATCCAGTCAACAATACTATATCCTACAAGACTCACTTGCAGATATAGGGAAAAAATAAAGAACTTCCAAACAAATAGATGATGGAGTTCACAAACACTAGACTTTCCCTAAGAAGCATATTAAAAAGAACATTCCTACAAATATCAGCAGAAGAAAATTAAAAAAAAAAAAAGTAAAACCAGAAAACTAAAGACAAAAATGGCAGTAGTAAATCAATAATCACCTTATATGTAATTGCACTGCCCTCGCCAATGAAAAGGCAGAGTGGTTGGCTGAAACAGAAAACAAAAGCCAACTTTCTGCAGTTTCAAGGAGTCTCATCGCAGCTCCAAAGAAAAACAAACAGGTTCGTGCCTCCCTCATGGCCCAAGGGGTTAAGCACAGCACTATGAAGCTATCTACCACCTCTGCAGCACAAGTTTGATCCCTGGCCAGGGAGCTATGCACATGGCACAGCAGACCTCTCCTGACTTGCCCCCTGCTCCCCTCAGCAGTGTATTTCAGTCAGTCTGCCTATTCTGTTCCCCACTCTGTCTGTGGTAAACCCTTGCACCCCCACACCTCTGGCCTGTACCCCAGTTCTTGTATGCATAAATAAATCTTAAAAAAAAAAAAAAGAAAAACAGGTTCAAAAACAGTGGCTGGAGGGTCTCCCTGGTGGCGCAGGAGGTTAGGACACAACCTGTGAGGCTGTATGCAGCCTCTGCAGCTCCAGTTCGATTCCCCGGCTGGCCAAGGAGCAACACACATGGCACAGCAGACCTCTCCTGACTTGCCCTCTGCTCCCGTCAGCAGTGTACTTAGGTTGGTCTGCCTGTTCTTTTCCCCACTCTGTCTCTGGTGAATCCTCTCACCCCCCACACTTCTGGCCTATACCCCAGCTCTTGTATTCATTAATAAATCTTTAAAAAAAAAAAAACAGTACTTCTTCCATTTCATATAAAAGATAAAACCCTAGTTTTCTTTAGATATTTATTGCTTTTATTAATCACAAGGAAAATGTGTTTAAAAAAAAAACAAAAACAAAAACAGTGGCTGGGCACAAAACTAAAAAAAAAAAAAAATGTTGCTCCAGATAAAAAGGCAGGGAGAACCATATCAAACAAAATTGAATTCCAGTTCAAAAAAAGTAACAAAGGTAACAAGTGAAATGAAATCACACATCAGGAAGACCTAACACTCATCAAATATAGGCATCAAATAAAGGAGTATCAAAATATTTAAGGCAACTGTTAATAAACCTGAACACGTATTAGTAGCAATATCTGACCCACACAGTGGTAAGGGACTTCAGCACCTCTCGCATCAATGGACACATCCAAGAGACAGAAAATCAACAAGGAAACAGTTGCCTTAATTGAGGAAAAATATCACACGGAACTAATGGACATTTATAGTTCACTAAACCCAAAAAATAGCAGAGTAAATATTCTCAAGTCACAAGAAACAGTCTGCAGAACAGACCATATGCTGAGTCAGAAACCAAGTGTCGGGTGGCGCCTGGGGTTGACACACAACCTATGAAGCTATCTGCAGCCACTGCAGCATGAGTTAGATCCCCAGCCAAGGAGCTACCCACATAGCGCAGCAGACCTCTCCTGTCTCGCCAGCTGCTCCCCTCAGCAGTGTATTTCGGTCAATCTGCCTGTTCTGCTCCCCACTCTGTCTATGATGAAACCTCTCACCCCACACCTCTGGCCTGTGCCCCAGTTCTTGTATGCATAAATAAACAGATCTTTTTATTTTTGTTTTAGATTTATTTATTTATTTATTTTTATTTATTTATTTATTTATACAAGCACTGGGTACAGTCAGAAACGCAGGAGGGTGAGAGAATTCACCAGAGCCAGAGCGGGGAGCAGAGCAGGCAGAAGGACCGAAGTACACTGCTGAGGGGAGCAGCGGGCGGCAGGAGAGGTCTGCGCGCCATGCGGGACCCTCCTCCAGTGGCCGAGGAGCAGCCGGGGATCGAACCGGCGCTGCAGAGGCTGCGGGCCGCTTCGCAACCCAGCGCTCAACCTCTGCGGCACCGGGGAGGCCCAACAGATCTTTTTAAAAAAAAACAAAGAAAGAAAGAAAGAAATCAAGTGTCAATAAATTCCTAGAGATTGAAATGATAGAAGTATCTCTCTTATCACAATGGTATCAAAAGATAAAACAATAATAAAAGAAAGGGGGGAATTCTAATATGTGGAGACTGAAGAAAAACGCTAAGTCATTATTGGGTTAAGCAAATTTTTAAAAATACTTCAGGACAAATGGCAATAAGGATATAACCTTTGTGTAGGGCAAAGCAAAAGCTGCATTAAGAGAAGAGTAATACAGGCCCACACCAAAAATCAAGAAAGAGTTCAAATAAATTATCTAATCTTACACCTAAAAAAACTAGAAAAACTCAAATTAAATCAAAAGATAATAGAAGGAAGCAAATAATAAAAACTAAAGCAAAAGTACATGAAATGAGGAAATGAAAGTGCAAAAAATTAAGGAAGCAAAAAAGCTAGGTCTTAAAAATAAACAGAATAGACAAACCTCTTGCTGGGGAAAAAAGAAAAATTCTAACACATAGAATCAGAATTGAAAGAGAAGTTACAACTGACATTTCAGGAATACAGAGGATCATGAGACCACTAAACATCTACATTCCAGTAAATTAAATAACCTAGAAGAAATAGAAAATTCTTAAAAGTATACAAGCTCCCAAGACTGAATCAGAAAGAAATGGAAAATCTGAACAGACAAATTACAAGCAAGGATATTGCAACAGTAATCCAAAATTTCCCAAAAACAGATCTCAAGATCAGACATTGTATATGAAACAGAGACACACTATGGGGGGAGGGGGGCAGGGAAAGGAGGGATTGGGTCAAAATAAGGGGGTTGCAATTATATGGGGAATATAAAAATTAAAATAAAAAAAAAGAAAACAAACAGAAAACAAACAAACAAACAAACAAACAGAAAAAGATCAGACATGGTCACTAGTGAGTTGTATCAAAACTTCAAAGATGAACAAAGACCTACCCATCTCAACTCTTCAAAATAATTGAGCAACAGAGAATGTCACCAAAGTTTATGGGACCAACATTAACTTGATACCAGAAGCAGAGAACAACATCACAAAAAAGAAAGCTACACACCAATATCCCTGGTGAACATACTTGCAAAAATCCTCAACAAAATTGTAGCAAACCTAATTTAATAAAAAGAATCACACTTTCTGACCAAGTGGGATTTATCCCGGCAACACAAGGATGGTTCAACATTTGAAAATCAATCAGTGAGATTTCAGCTCATACCAGTAAGATGACTATTATCAAAAAGTCAAGAAATAATAAATTTTGGTGATGATTAGGGGACAAAGGACCCTTGTGCATTATTGATAAGAATATAT